ATATATACACATCTACTCTTTTCACGAAATTTGGCATGACCAAGCCCTTAATGAATTTAGTCTGATGAGTATGGAGCGATGCGCTGTGCGTAGTAAGCCTGCCAGTCAGATTATCGCCTACTTGCAATAATAATAAATCAAGGGTTTCATAGTGCTAAAGCGTAAACATATTGACAGAAGGGATCGACTGTCATAGCAGTCCTGGTCACCAGTATCGTCTGTAGCATGTATGGATCGTAATCAGATAGTGCCCAGTTCATATTGGCGGGTGGTGTTTATTGCCGAGAAGGTTTTACTGGGTTTGCTTGGTATCATACTATCAGAGAAAAGATTCGTCAAGAAAACACCAAAGCGGAACAACAACATAATCACCACTACCAGTCATGTTACACTAAGAACTATGAATACTTTGTACCCGTACGTAGTGAAGTTAGCTTTGGTACGAGCTCTCTCGTCCAGCTCGTGCTCCTTTTCAAGCTCCGCCACCTTCATCATACGTAACACAAATAGACAAAACGTATATTGTGCGAATTGAAGGAAACATATATTTTCCACATATAAACTGTACATAGTAAAGAAATGTATGATATAATATCATACATAACTTATTTCACGTCGGTGAATTTCTATGATCCACTGAAGGATGTATTCATGAACAAATCAAACTTAATTATATGCTTTCAAGCAAAAATATGTAGCCTAAGACAAAGACGTTGATGAAACAATGGATCGATATTAAAACTGCGCCGAATTTACCGTCGTGAGGTTAAATAAGACTATGACAGTTTTCTTCTTGTATATGAGCCGTCGGCCACTCGGCGTTAGCGTATATGGATTTAGGTTTTTACTTTTCTTTTTTCTGTAATAATGGCGCACTTTCATGGTTAATATCGAAGAAGAAAGTGAATTATCGTTAGATTCTCAAATAGTAAATACTAGAAAGGCGTTACGTGGATAACCGAGCTCTGAACGGTTGTTACCGCCGCATCAACCTCTTGTTGATTCCAATTTGTGTTCTGAATGCTTGTTTTTTCGCTACAGTCTTAATTGAGTCTGAAAAAAGATGCTCGTAAAGGAGTGACAGCAGGAGTAATCCTGCTACAGACACATCGACTCCGACACTGATCTTGCGGAGCGCCTAATGGATATTCTGTAAAAATTTCAATGCTGCCACGATTCCACTCTAAATCGAGAGGAAGTAAAAAGCTGCGAAAAGGAGATACTTAATTCCAAAACGAGTATAAGGAGTATTTATTGGCAAGGCTTAGAAATAGCTACCGATCTAATGGCTAGACGGATCTGTGGGCTTGCTAATTTCGTACAGCCCTCAGCTGTGGTAAGAAAAACGGACAGCTTATCGAATTCTTGCCATTTTGTCACAAAAAATTTTGCAGTTCAAAAGTGTAAACAAACAGGACTTTAGAAAAAATCCTCTAAAGGACGGTATAAAAGGAAGTACGGGAAATCTAATAAATGGAGACAGCAAGTAAAGGCAAACGAAGTGAGCCAGCTAGATAATGGTAGCGAAAAAGGCTGTGAGAATAAGTTTTTTTCTTTGTGAATATACTAGATAAATAAAACTATAGCTTTTTAATCGAACAAAGGAGTATTTACTTTAACACTTTTTATGGCAACTAGGTGACATGTAGAATACGATATCCAGGACAGAGGCAATTAAGTACTTACAGGAATAGGTTCATTCATTAAAAGGCAGTTTTTATTATGGATACTGCCATTAATCAAAAACAATCGACCTCACCAGTCGAAGGTCATCCCTTTCGAGGTACACATGTCGATGAAATTTAAAGATATCGTAAAACTATTTTGTTTAGAAGAAAAAAGTGTTAAAGTATCTAACTCATATTCGTAGATAATACAGAAAGAAAGTGTTCGATTTATGTGCTTAACTGTGCTTGTTTAAATACTAGACAAATACATATATTAGATTTACGTGTGCGTAGCGTAGTGTATTCAGCGGATTGCGATGAATCCATGTTGGGAAGCAGCTTTTTTTGAATATTTTTAGCGCTCCTCTAATTGAAAATGATTGCGTCGTTCAAAAGATTAATAAGATGCGGTTCAACAAGGGTTCCCCGGTTTTTTCTTATTAAAAAATAGCACATGGCATAAAATACAGAAATAGGATTTATAAGCACGACTATTCAGCCATGGTGTTCAACTTATAGAGCCAACTAGCGAAAAATATGATAAAGGCAGAGAGACGGTGTGATAGGACTACCCTAGATTTTAAATATTTATTTTAACCTGAATTCTGACAACTAATAAAGTCGTAACAGAAAAAAAACGACGATTATTACTACTATGTCTTCATTTATTAGGTGTTAGCAACTAACACTGTTAATTCTCCTTTTAAGCTGAATTTGTTTAGCGTTTGCAAAGGGTGATGACCTTTTCATAATGGAATAGCCTAGCTATTCCGACTTTTACAATATATGTTGAATTAAGTTCTACGATTTACCGAATATGTACTTGATAAACGTATATCTTTTGCGTCTTACTGTTTTTAAATAAAGCGTATACAGAGTAACGCCTCAATAAGTTTCATTACATAATCTCAGATGTTCCTGAGGTCGTTTGCGAGCAAATTAATCGCTCAGGCCACTCTTTTTTTTACCTCATATGCTTACAGCATGTTTTCGATTCGACGAGTCCTCGTACAACACGTAGCTTCTGCGGTATGAAATAACAACATCCGGTTTGAGAGCTTCGGCTGTACGACATCGGAACAGGGCCAATGTCTTCTTCAAAAGAGGTGCGTCTATATTTTCCAGGTGGTTCCCAGAAATGCGTCCTAAACAACTGCTCCGTTCCAGAGAGCATGCAAGCTGAGCAGTAATTCCTGCATTTCACATTACCTCCGGTAGTTTTGTTCTTCAAGAGGTTACCAGGCAAATCCTGCTCCTGGACATTAGGCCATATACCTAGGTCAGCTCGTATGCCTTCCGGTGTGAAATTTTTCTTTTTTCACATATTAAATGTATCTGGCCCTGTTCCTGGTTTCAATATTGCTTCGGCTAGCTTTTCGTTTACGCGAAATTTGCGTACTTTTAAAAGTACATGTAAACATGTGTTTGAATGAATCAGATCTACAAATCCATAATTTCAAGAGCAAAATGTAGCATTCTAGCTCTCTCATACAATTTATTTAGCTAGTCGACTTCTGACTAATTGCTAAAAACTATAACAAAAAGAAACAACAACATTTGTTTGTGGTCTGTCGGAGTAATGCTGCTAACGCCTGTAGCTGTAGCGACTGTATGGGACCACCTGGTGTTTTTGTCAACAGATAGCAGTACGATAAGGGTAAAATAAATCGTGTGAAAATGTTACATGGCTTCGTTTAGAACGCTGTTTAGTGCAGGATTTGTTTGACCAACACTATAATTATAGGTGCTGCTACCACACACTATAGCTGAACGTGCGGATGGTGCCGCCGTGGCTATTGAAACGTAATGTGAAAGCAAAATGTACGTGGTCCATTGAATGCATCCGTATTTCCGATTTCCCATGTTGTTACTGGATATGCCACTTGTACGTTTGATTTTTTTAACATGCTGCTTGACGCCAAGCAATGTCAAAAGTTTGCTTGACGAGGCAATAACTTAATGAAGAAGTTGCGCACATATACGCTATCTGACCATCTCCGGGATTTGGGCACGCACAACTCAGCTTAAAGTCGGTTCCAGTGGGATGTGGCCATGTGGAAATACTACTCAAGTTTTTCTTTATGGGTACCTTTGATACAGTGAATATGAAGGTATTGCTAGAGATCTTAAAGGAACGCGGTGTAACCGCGCATGTAATTCTAATTATGCTCTGCTTAATATAATCGTACTTATCTAGAGTATTCAAGAAAGCACATAAGCTATTCACACACAAAGTAGTGACACTTTTAATAAAAATATTATGTAAAAAGATTTTGAAAAAAAACACGCTATGGAATTAAACGACCTCTTGCGCTAAAAAAAAAAAAACGTATCTCAGCTCTTGTGTGTGTTCAAAGAGTAGACGCCACATATAATGCTATACAATATGAAATGTTTTTATTTAAAAAAAAAAAACTGCTCAATGGCTATGGTAGCCGAGGTTAAATGTTGCCATTACTATCGTTACACTATTATTTGTCTAATTCATGCACGTTTGCCCTGTTATAAATAATAAATTTTTAATTAAATTATTGTATATATTACCGTTGTACTTGCTGGCATTGTTATTATTATTAGATTATAATTTATAATCTTTTGCAAGAAGGACAACTCCACATTGTTATTATGCCATTGACTTGGGGTAACAATTGTATACATTGTGCTTTGGTTTCAGAGTGAAGTCTGTCATGAAGCTTTAAGAAAGCATGGCCGAAATTCTGCTTGTGGAGGCATTTTACGGAGGCTCCCACGCTCAGCTAATGGATCTTCTAGTTAATCATTTGAGCGGTAAAGTTCGACTGAGTAGAAGAGATGAATCCTTACATCCAGTACAGCACAAATCTGTCTATGTTTGCATCTATCGTACGGAGATGTAATTTAAATGGATTTGGTGCACTTTTTTACTTTAATACCTTTGATACTCTTGAATATATATCATACAAAGTGATATATCGTTGGCTTGCTCAAGTCCCATCCCCGAATTAGCAGAAAATGCATTTATCGAATCATCAGCTTAGCGTAATATTAAACTCTTATAGCTAGCTACTTGAAGCTAGCGATAAGAGCTCTATAGAGTAAGCTATATACTTCACGAGACTTCTAAACCTTTACTGGCCAACAAAAAAGATTATATGAACCATATCGTAAATTGACCAATAACAGGCCACTTGCCACTTTACTAATAGATGTATCATCTTGAAAGATACAATTAGATCAGGACACACGGCTGAACTAACAGTAAATCGTGTTAATTTGTGTTTAAGAGCGTCTGCAGCCAGGGGAGGTTGATCTAGTGACGATGACGGATAAGAAGTGGCACTGGAGAGCCCGTACTTCTGCACTATGGTTAGCGATGAACATCCCTAGAAAAAGGTAAATTTGTCCAGCAAGTGCAAATAACCTTATGTATTAAATTTATCATTGTGGCATATGAAAAGTTTCATAATCGGCGCTGGTTTTCGTATTTGGGTGTATTAGTTTTCTATGACTTTCATAGGAAATAATTGCGGGCTTTTTGAGATGAGCTACAAAGCACCCTCCCGCAATTGCAACAGTTTATTATTAATATATCATTCAACACTTTCTGGCCAAAAAAGGATAGCTCAAGGAGGCGGAAAACGTGGAATTAGAAAAATAATTATAATACTACAGAGATAGTGTTCCGTAGCAATGAGTACAGTAAATCTTCCGAATTTCTGCTAAAGATTGTTCTACAAATACCCTTCACTATTGTAAATTAGTTCACCACTTTCAACGCTACAACACTTGCTGCTTATATTTAATAACGTTTTTACAGGTATAAGAGGCTCTTCATAAGTTCAGTGGCGAACCTCGCAGAATTACTCGGACTGCGACCAGATCTAGCCGGATGCGAGAAAATCCTGTATTTTCATGAAAATCAACTGGAGTACCCCGTTCGAAATCCGAAACTTTGCGATTACCAGTATGGCTATAACCAGATTTTGTCGGCATTGGCTGCCGACAAAATTGTTTTCAATTCTGAGTTTAATAAGAGAACGTTCCTCGACAAAATGGACCCTTTCCTTAATAGCCAGCCCGGCTATCATACGCCGTGTAGGTTTGTATAAGCAAGTAGAGTTTAGTTGCAAGCTCCTGAGGAAATTTGGGTAGCCGGTGAGGTTCTGTAAAAGACAAGACCTTGACAGACAAACCGCTTTCATTCTTTTAAAAACTATTACTTACCTACTATCTTTGCCACGTTCGCCGTCATTGCTTGATTGTCTTTATTTAGAAGCCTGATTGAGCCTAAGAGCTCCGTGCTCTATTTTCCCATAACCTTGGAACGAGTCAAGGAGCCTGCGAATAATTCTGTCCTACATATTGTGTGGCCACACCGCTGGGAGCACGACAAGGGGCCGGATGAGTTCTTTCATGTACGTTGTATTTAAAAGCCCACCAAAAGATGAAAAAGGCACCTATTTATACATTTGCACAGATGTACAGCAGATGTCAGGTACCTGTACCAAACATAGGTTGTTAGTGCTAACGAGTAACGTGCCTGTTCAGGGACCTTCTGGTGGCTAAATTAACCTAATTAATATGGGTTGTGTCATTAACATGTTACGTACTATTTGTGAAAACGAGTGTCGCTGCATTAAACTAGATTTTTTTCAAGTGCTCGTAAATTACATAGATCTTATAGTGCAAAAAGCTTCTCAAGTTTTTTTTTTATTTACAGCACTTTAGCGAATTGAATTAGGACAACACTGTCGACATACGAACGTATACTTGTGAAGCTCTGTTCAATTTATCATTGTAGGCTATGGAGGAACTGAAAAAAGCTGGCTGCGACTTCAAGCTGATAGTGCTTGGTCAGCGCTACGATGAGGTAATTGAATCTTTTCACAGCGAGGCGATTTTTCCTTCTTTTTAGTTAGATCATTGTGTATTTACTACGTGAAGTCACTTCTATATTTTTTTCGTCTTTCTCGATTTGTATTATTTATACCTTTGCCTAGAGTGCAATAGAATAAATTTATTTGCATATTTTTTTTTTTGTTGGATAAGATATGAAACTATCTAGACAATAGCTAATGGCTTCTTCGTAAACCTATATTATTCGTTGTGTTGTTCATCAACCGCTTATCAACTGAACTGCAGTTGATAAGCCATTGGAACTTTTATAAATTACAAATTACTCGAATTCAACTAATTGCGAAGTTTTCCTAGGCTCAACCGGAGAATGCGATAAAAATTTGTTTTGGGTGAGAAGTCTCCCAAAGTCTTGGATAAGAGTTCTAAACACATCCACAATCGCTGTCGCTATAGCCCCAAACAAAAAATCAACACTTACCTTCCATTTTTTTCACATATATATATATATATATATATATGGTTATGGAATTATTTTCACACATATTTAGTTATGGCGTTCTTGATTTAATCTACCCTACTGCACTCAAAATTTTTTGACTTAGCTCAAAATAAATAAGTTACGTTTCTGATGTAGCTTCCGCTAATCTTGTCACCTTCCTTAAATCGCAAAACGTTTTTGAAGGTTCCAGAAGTATTTGAAAAGGCTCGCGTCTCCCTCTCATCGAATATCATTCACTGGGGCTATGCGCCTTCAAAGGAAAAGTTTCTGCAATTGCTCCGGAACTCAGACATCGTCGTATCTACGGCACTTCACGAATTCTATGGTGTAGCGGTATTGGAAGGTGCTTTTTCGGGTGCCCTGCCATTGGTACCGAATCGACTCTCTTACCCAGAACTGTTTCCGAAGGGATGCATTTATAATACACGTGCGCAACTCGTCAAAAAGTTGGTGTGACTTAAACGCAACTGCGACTACCTTACATAAGTAATTTTAGCGAGCAGAAATGTACAAATAATATTTAATGTTCCAGTTTTTCGAAAATTAATTTAGTAATTAATTTTTCTATTATTTAAAATGTTATTATTACTTTGATTAATGATACGTAGGCGATAGGCTTCAGAGGGTTGATCCTATTTATAAAGAAATAACATATGTTGTGCTAATGTTTTTTGTTTATTAGTAGAATTTTTGTCTATATCTCAGGAGGAATGTGTTTCCAAGTAGATGTTTCAATTTTTTCGACATTGTGCTTTCAGACTCAAGGAGTTTTGCCGTAAGCCACTGGTTCCGCGTAGGTTATGTTCATCATTGGATCTCAGCAAGTACCACTGGAGTTCACTCAAGGCTGGGTACCAAGATGCGTTGATGCCACCCCCCGCCAAAAATTCCTCTTATTGAAATTATAACACAATAATAAAATACGATTGATGTTGTTGAACTAATTTGTGTTAAGTAAAATCTTCCTACTCTTGATTTTTGACCTAAGAAGTATTCGTCGGACGACGTGAGCAAGTTCACGTAAACAAGACATTTTGGAAGTTACCTTTGGCCATTACGCCCGTCATAGTAAATAAATGGTTCGGTGAGCAGCTGATTCATTTAGTGGCTTACGTGATGCTGTGCTATGTTCCAATTTGAAATAGTACGTTTGCATGGCAGATGTGTGTGAGATGCGTGAGACCGGAAAGGCTAAAGCACACTAATTAAAACAGTGGCTTTATAACTGTCATTTCAATCTCTTTCGGTTTTTCGAAGACTAGGAACTTACAGCGACCTCCTTTTTTAGCTCTCCGATTTGGTGCATTTGAAGTGAAGATTACGGAACAAAGCTTTAATGCGCCAATTGTAAAAGGTCGGTCGGTACAATTGCGTGGTAATGAAGTATCGTAGTGACTATTCGTAGCAAAGACAGAACACTGTTATCAAAACTGAATAGTGGTAGTGTGCATATGTATATAGATATATACTAAAATTGTTGTATATATTATTCTTTTAGTGGTAGTAGATACGGGTTTGTATCAATCTTTTTCTATTTTCTATCTCTTTCTATCAGTTTTCTAGAACTTTTCCCCATCGGCAGTACCGTAAGGGTAAACGTGCATATGTAACGCCGTTCGGCGTTTGCGCTGATTGTGAAACATATATTCAATAGAAAGGCCTTGACAAGTTGCTGATGTTTATTTCTATAAAAATGAGCAAAATAAACACATCGTTTTTGAATCTTAGAAAGAATAGCTATAGAACAAAAAGCACATGAGGAAAACGCATTTAATCCAAATTTGATGAACTATCGTGTCTAACTTTATAACATTATGCTGTTTTTTGGGTCACGGGATATGTCTACCGTGGACTTAAAATATATTTTTCATTTTTGAGGTTAAGTGTATTAATATCACTTTTGTACACTAAGCCCCCTTCCTCATACTAGCCTACTTAAGTAGGAAGCTTGAACTTTTCCTATTTTAATATTGAATTGTCAAAAAAGTATTGATAGTTATTTTAAGCTAAATTGATTCAAAATCATAGCATCTCAGGTAACATCAATCGAAATAGGGTCCGCTCAGCATTTTAAGGCTTACATTTGACGGTAGTCTATGTGTTAGCATTGCTAGAATGGTTGAATTCAGATTTAAAATAGAGCGCAGCGAAGATAGGTAAAGTGTCTGCGAGAATTCGCTATATTCTCTGATGTTATTATGACAAAAAGCACAAATGTTATCCGGGCCCAAAAAAGGTTGAACTCTTTATCATCAAAACGCTTACTGAAGGAAAAAAAAACCCAAAGATGGTTTTTTTGCTTCGCTGTGGAAATTTTGATATAGAAGATGCTTCTCTCAGTAATAGATTAACTACGAAAAAAGTGGGTTAACTTGTTGTGAATGTTAACCAAGATCGACACGTGATTAGTCATGACATCGCTAAGGAGATAAACCTTCACGATCAGTTTTAAGTTGTTTGAAGAAAGCTGGCCACAAAAAGGTTTGACGTTTGGGTGCCATACGAATTGACGCAAAAATATTTACTCGATCGGTGCTTATATGCGAAAGCCTATAGAAACGCAACGAAACGACGAGCTGCAGTATATTACGGAAGTGGACGAAAAGTGGATCATATTCTATAATAATGTACGAAGTAGATCACGGTCAAAACAAGCAAAAGTTAGACAAGCTATAGCGAAGCGACCAAAGACGGTGATGCTATGTATTTAGTGGAATTTGAAAGAAATCGTGCATTATGAGGTGCTGCTACCCGGTAAGACATTTGGACTCCTGCTGTCAAAAACGGACAAAATTATAATAGGCCATTGAAAAAATCGACCGGAATTAGTAAATAGAAGGGAGGTCGTCATCCGCCATAAGAATATTACGCCGCATACATATTTAGCTGTCTGAAAAATTAGGAACGCTTAAATGGGAAATTTTCATGCATCCGCTCTACTGCCCGAATCTGGTACCACCAGTGTATCGTCTGTTTCGGTGCCTGCAGAACTTAGTTTACCATCTCAGCCTACTCCAAATTCGAAAGATGCTCCATGTGACCTACCGGCTATAATTTCACACCATCGCCGACCACGGAATACTCAAGCACGTTAAAACTCACTTAGTCAAATGAATATCCTGACGCTCACAGCCTGTCAAACCAACCATCACAACAATGACTAAAACAATACATTCAACATTCAGCCCTTAGCAATACAGATAAGACACATGTAAAAAGAAATGCTATTTCTATTAACCAGTTCAAATCGTTTCCACATACTCACGATCACCGCCACAGCGACAACAGCAAGGCGCGCGCCGTCACAAAATTCAAATCTGCTCTTTCCCATTTGAACTCTCCCCTCCTCTACGTTTCAACCGTAGCTTTTTTTCGGTTACAACAACCAGTTCTTGCAGTTGCTGTTACTATAATCAAAGGCATAACCGCTCACCACTGTAAATACTATATATTAGTATTACATTGCGCGTTATACCCATGTACTAGCTATTGTTGCCATTATTGTGGTTCCACCGCTACGATCACTCGATGGCCGCCTAGGTTTGCTCCCTTTGCAACTTTCTATGTATAATTGCCTCTCATTCCTTGCGGGATGCTCTTGGAGACGCTTAACGACGAATATTCCTGTTGATACGGTAAACGACAGCATTAGATGTGCTGGAAGAAGCGAAGTGCCATCAGCATTTTGAACTGTTTATGTACAAGACGGTGGGGCGAATGCAGGGAGCCAATGTAAGAGAAACGGGTAGAGTAACGCGTGCTCCATAACCCATTACAAAATGAATGTTGTGACACGTACAATAGTGCACGAGACACTGTAGTATAGAAAGAAACTTGCTGTTTCTGGAATTCATAGACTTTTGAAGAGGGAACATATCGTTGATGGCAGCATATGAGAGCCGTTGAGCCTTTTTCAACACGACGTCGTGATAACATACACTTCTAAGTAAATTTGTTTACTTTTATTGATTGTAAAAAAAAGCTGATCGCTCCACTCGCATCGCTTCAAAGGTAACTAGTATAAGTTGGAGTGATCGATTATCCGTGTAGCGACGCTGCCGTAAGGGTTGGCTTGCGATTCATAGTTGAACAGACATAAATGAGAAGTCCCTTTCTCATTTTAACAAGCTGAGTATATGGGAGCTCTCTCAATGTGTCTCTACATCTTATTTCCTTCCATACCTTGCTTTTTTCGAACAGGGTCGCCTACTCCAGGAATAGCGAACGCTCCGCACACTTCTGTACACCAACTAACTGAGGATTTCCCTGAACTATGAGCTACTTCGACAGGTCTCCTTGTTCAAACAAGGCTAGCAGACTTAGTGTAGAAAAATTATACGGTGATCAAGTTACGCAACTGAGAGTCGCTTGTGAAAACAGAAGAACACGAGAGACTGGCCGTGTTTGATAATACTGCCAGGGATATCGTACAATAGCGCAGTATAAAAGCCCTTGTGCTGCCTTATTGTGCTGTCAACCATAACAAATAATTGCTAAACATGTAAGTACATTTTATCTAGTGTATCATATATTAGCCTGGACGTAGCAAGATGCTATATTCTATAATTGTTTGTATATACGAAATTCTTAGTTTGCTTAAGGACAGTATGAAAAGTGGAAGAGTTGTTGCTATAGGAAAATTGGCCGAGGGTGTTTTGTTTCAACTCTGGATAGTCATTTCAGTAGAATGTTGTCACGTCGAGTAGCACAAGGCCGGTGGACGGCATGTTTCTCGCTAGCCGTATTCCAAACCCTCGTCGGTATTGCAGTCGGAAGTTTAGCGGTAGCCCACATGGTGATGGCTAGTCTATTTCAAGGTGGACATACACCACATGTTGATGCCTGTCATGATAGCACCATAGCGGCAGCACTGCAGGGTACGTACACAATTTGAATAAATTCTCGGGCGGAACTTTTTGAATTCGAAAAGATTGCTTTTATGCGCATACGTCTGTTTACCAATCATATACTTTTTTATAACTCACACACGGTATGGGTATATATTCTACTGAAACTAAAGTGATTTTGGTCTGTAGTTAATATTTACCAAGTCTCCATTTACAAGAGCGAGATATTTTTAATAATATCTTAGTAATAATAGTTATGAAAATTTTCAAACCGAAAAATAGTATTTGCTTTAGTACTAGAATTCTATCTAAATCAAGTAGAAAACGGTAGGTTGTTAGTCGTTTTGTAGGCCGTTTGCCATTTTTACATTGTATAGGAAACACCAGATTTCAATATTAAACGAAATGTGGACATAAACTGAAATCACTTTCTTGATAACGTTTTTCTTTGTGAGGCGAAGGTGACTCCTTCAAGCATGATCACAATCACGAATATTTACATTCAATCATTTTTCCAGACCGATTTATGCTATACAGACTGTTCTCACGAAATACCTGTTGTTTGCTTTTCAACAATCATCTACAATAAAAACCAACTTACTCGGCTCGTAAATTGTACCAAAGGCTTACTAAATTGTTTCTACTACGGTTAATCCGTAAATGTCACTTTGACTGACCAGCACGTTCACAACTACTGTTAATTCATAATCAAATAGTCTACTTACAAACAACCAAAACGACACAAATACATTCGTTTAAAGAATGACTTTAGCGTCCCTATGCCGGGTCTAATAAAGATCTATATTTGTTAAGATCATTCGGCCACTAACAAGAAGAATGCCTTCGTTTATCATTAAGGCCGATTTTTTTTAATTGTGAAATATCACATCTTTCTTGACAATATTGTTATACTTTTGCCATTTCCGATATTTTCAAAAAGTACTCAACAGGTCAGTTTACAATTATCTATTCCCGTGCATAGCTATGGCTTATCATGATTACTTTGGTGCCATTCTCTAACATAAGAAGAATATCTTTTCTGATGCGCATTTTCAGGTATAACCCTTGTAGTAGCAGGATCTCTCGGAGTTTGGGCATACGCTTCGTTCCTAGCTCCCCTTCCGCCCCCGGGGACGATCAAAGACGCCCCTTCGAGACGCCGTCAACCGCGGCTAGCTCTTGTGGCTAGCCATGTGCTGTTCTCCGCAGTTGTTGCTTTCGTAGGATATAACGCTGCTGCTTCTCACGGATGTTTCGCTCTAGGAAAAGGAGGCGGTACATTTGCTTCACTTTTTTGCACTGATCGTGTAGTATATAGTTCGTTAGCGGGGCTTGACGCTAGGAAAGAGTAATAGCTACCAGACAACTCGGTCGTTAATCTTGAAGGTTTTTTTCACACGCAGATGGTTTTTAAAGGGTCATTTTTTATAATCGTATGAGGTGAGGATAGGAGGCGAAAAGGTTAAATGATTTATAGGTTTCGTAGGTACTGCCCCTAGCTTGAAAATGCGTATACACGACTACAGACACTATTACATTCTTCATCGTTAAATAGTCCCAGTAAATTCGCATTTTGCTAGATAAATTCTTGTTTAGCTACGTAGCGTGATGCGGCACATACTATAGTGAGCGCTATTGATATTGCTCAATCGGCTTTTGTTGTTTTCACAGAAAAAGCCATTTTTGGAATCGTTGTTGCTCGAGTTGTCCTTTCGTACCTTTGCCATATTGTGGGCGGACTGTGTGCCGGCCTTGCGATGCCGGACCTTTGCCGAGCTGTTCTCAAGGTATGAACTTACATCTATATATATGCAAATATATTGCGGCAATATCAATATTGGAGCATTGTCGTGTCGGAAATCGATTAGTATCATTCTGCCTAAATTGCGGCGATTCCAACGGAAGTTTCCATTTATAAAAGTATATATTTTGCCGATAAATCTCGTTTACGGCACTATTAATACAACAGGACTAATGTTTCGCTCTCTGGTACACTTTGTATACACTTTTCTCTTTAACTACGTCCAGTACAGAGGCTCGAGGTAATTGATAAGCCCATTTATTTATATATGTTTCCTCCATAAATCAATAGGGGCATCAACAACACAACTTAGCTCAAGCTGGCTCTGGCGGCGGCGGCGGCGACGACGACGATGCTCGAACTGGTGGACCGCAACATGCAAATGTTCAACGAATCGTCGAAAGAATGAACTCTCAAACGGCATTTGTCACGACTGAATCGACTAGTAACTCGCAGGGATCGAAAAGCAAGTTTCAAAAACAGCAGATGCTAACAGTGATCACACTGCCTGACATGGCTGATGGCTCAACGATATATGCCGTACCCCAAGACCAGTATGTAGTACAACAGCAGGACGGTTCCATAAGTATTCCTGCGGCTACAGCCATGCCGAACATAGCGCAGAGTACGGGCGTAACTTCTATAAGTCTATGTAATAGTAATATCCGTGAAGAACAACCAACTGAGGTGAACGTTACCACATTAGCTGAAGATGCTAAACTGGTTCTCTAAGCCTGTCTCTAGGGCAGATGTAAAGTATTATGAAAACATGTTGACTAGCCTCAATCTATCAGTGGGAGCGGCATGGGTTTTATTAAGTGTCACAACAAATAATGTTGTGCTTGTATTTAGTACTGGGGTCTCCAGTCTTTTGATCAAAATTTACAGTTTATGCCCGAGCGTATTCTACTGCGTTGCCTTTACGAACAGAAAAACAAAACGCCGACGATCTGTGCCAAGTTGAAAAAAACTTGGGAGTTAGGAACGTGGTTTAGATAGAATTAAATAACCTCAACGTGTGTTTCTTGGCCAAATAGGGGCTGATCAAGCACATGTTGGCTGTGTTTCTAGATGTCAGGACAACTAATCTTGTCAGTCGTTGTTAATTATCTCGTTTTTTTAGACTTGTGATAACCATATTAACTTAACTGCAGTGGGGCCGTCAGCGATGTAACATTTCCGTGTTCGGACATTAAATGCCGAACATTTAATTTTCACTAGCCTTCTATGCATGTTCGTGGCTGTCTGTGTACGTTTCTATTTAATCAAGGGGTCAAAAAAATAAGAGCTTTGTAATTTTTTTCTTGACGTCGATATCTTCGAGTTGTATCATATCAAAGAAGAAAGCTATCGCAATTAACTAACCTTGCTCAATACTTGTATACCTGAGTACGAATAATTTCTCATTCTATTAGAGTAAAAATATCTCAGTGTGTGAGCATTGACGAGCCCCATATAAGTACATAGAACTTGGAGATCAAATAACTGCATTAGGTGAAACTTCGTGTACTCAGCACAATGCGTTTCTACTTTGTTTTTGATAAAAAAAAAAAAAAACCAGCAAATAGAAGAAATAATTCTCGTAAAGGGGTAATTAGTGAAACAATTCTAATAAAATTACAATCGTTGAGATAGGATTTTTGAGAGAGAGCTAAGGAGATGGCGGATAAGGATTCGATAACCAGCGTAGTTGTAATATAGGCTATACATAGACCTTTTTTAAGACTACATATTCGCAGAAGAATTGGCGATCGGTACTCAACGGTTGCTTTATACATTATGAATATGAATATACACTGCTTATGCTAGATTGTGCTATACCATAGTGTATAATTACTATAGGTTTAGATATGTATGCCCCCATTTTGAGAGAATCAAACAATCTCGGAGGTATTAAAAGTTTGACTGGTCAGGTGAGCTGACTTAAATAAATAAAGTGATAAAAGTGCAAACATTAAAAGCTTGCAAGGAAAATGCAATTGCTATATACGTTTCTTATGTAGTAACTTTACACCTACTATGGGGCGTATAAAGTACAAAAACAATAAACGAGAGTTATTGAAATTTTAATAAAGTAATCATTCAATTGTGATTATTTTAAGCAAAATAAGTTGCTATTTAGTTCACTGCAGATAAATGAATTTTATTCATTACTGGCATTATGAACGGCGCAACATACTGAAATCTCGCCGACAGGATGAGCGAGAAAAAATCTACTACGACTTCTAATAATTAAAACTAGTTTTCTTTCATTTTTTTATCTTATATATATATATATATATATATATACACACAACAGAGACAAAAAAACGGAATAGGTTACCTAAATATTTATGTGCTTTTATAAATCGTTAGCATTAACTTCGTTTGCTTTTTGTTAATTAGATTTTACCATACAAAGACGCATCTTAATATCTCTAGATATGAGTTTACTAATACTTGAAGAAACACATACTATATGATGATTAAGAAGTACAATGATTAGTGTGGTACTCTGTGTTCAAAGTAGCCAGACGTACAAGCGTTTCTCCCGTTGCGAACATCTGTTAGACAACGTTATTCTCCAAGTATATGTAATTGTGGTAAGCAAATTAAAATATTTTGTACTTTAATTTGCTTCTTTAGGCTTAGTTTTGGGCAGATAGTCGTAAACGGGCTACCAAAAAACCCTACAATGACCTGACATAAAATTGAAAACGTTCAAGTTAGTGGATGTGTCTGTACCGGAGGTGGGACCAGCTCCATTAAGTCCTTAAGCCAGAATTTTTTTTTTTTTCGCTAAAATACTTTGTCTCGTTTCATGTATGTGTACATAGTTTGCGAAAAACATTTTTACAGAATTTGACTATCGGTGTATAATAAATCGATTCATTTTTTTTTAATGGTACTAAGAATCTTCTAAGAAAAGGCAAGAAGTTGTCATTTCTGTAAGCTTGACAAAGATATATTATAATAATACTAATATATTTAGAAAAAGCCCTGCTAATTTTTGTTGCCGTCGTCAATCGGCTAGGGAAAAGCATTAAGTGACTCTAAAGTTGCTGAACATCTAGGTCACGTTAAGTAATTAGTCACTGCGTCCTGTTATTTATCCTATGTACAGTAGGTTATTGCCAATGTTATTGCCATTATCATTCTTGCAAACAACTAGTGGGTGACGATATGACTTTGTCTGCTTAATACAGAGCGTTAATGTATTAACCGTTGCCCCACTTGCTGCCATACGGCAAACAGAAGATCTTTAAATACGTATTGGCCCCTGATTCGTTTTTAGAATTCATACGTCTACCTAGTCTACATATCATCTGAAATTCCAAATTCTTCTTAGCTGTTGATCTGATCATGTTCGACAAACTAGTGGTGACGGATCCACAGATAACCAGGCCATCAGAAGCGCATTGCAAAAATTCGATACGGCTGTGAGGTCAGTACCTATAAATTAACGAGACACGTCTTGCTGAGATGCCGGGGGTAGGTAAAAGAGAGAAAGGTACATGAATAGAATTTACACTGGAAGGTTTGTTACAGAAGGTGCGGCTCATCCATGAAGGCTACGCAATCACTTTTGGACATTTCGTAAATATTCGCTGCATGTAACTCTTCCTCATTTACCCCGTTGAGGTTCTAAGGAAATCCGGGCAGGCAGTAGGCAGGTGAGAGCGATATAGTCGTTTACAGCGCCGAAGTCAACGGCGTCGTACAGTTGTATCAAAACCATGTTGTAGGCACAGAGGTCATGCGTCGGATCCCAATTCACATGGACTATTACACGTTGAGCGTCAAACTCCACTTCACCGTCTGCGTTATGCTCAACACGAATGGTGTTAACGCGAACCCGAAAAGAGAAAGGACTCCTTGCTTTCTGCACATTGTAAGTCGTCGTGAGTACAAAATTGCTGAAATTAGCGCTCCTGATCCAATCATACTATCGTCAATACCAGCGTTGGTGGTTATGGCGATCCAAAAATGGCGATTTCAAAGAACTGGGTTTCCTCCGTGAATCTGGGTCTCGATCCCGGTTGGACCTCGGGCTCGATCACATTTTGTTGATATACACGACTCGCAATACGTGTATAATCAGTCCTTTATAATTACCTAGTGTTCCCTACTTTGCGCGTTCAGAACTGATAATGTGTTAAGAGAAAGAAATAGTCTTAAAGCACGGTGCCACGACCGCTGCAACAGTCGTATGAAACGTGTCAGTCAAAAAGGAAAATCGATGCTAGAGACTGGACTACTAATTGTAAGCCTTAACTTCTTTGTATAATCCAACTGTCATTTAAATTACAAAAAAAAAAGTTTACAATTAACGCATAAAGCCATTAGGATTATATTCCTGGGTAACGTAAGAGAACGAGTATCAATTCAGACAAACCATCCAGCGCCTGATAGTAGACAAAATCCCCATCCTGTTATGTTGGCTATTTACATGGAGTGCGACTTTGAAATGCAACGGCCAAGAAGAAACCTTCTTTCTGTTTAAGAATAAACTTCGTTTCCTTACACCCTCTTATACCGTGGTCGATTTTCTGAAATTTGCTGAAAATTGGGTGCTAGTCGCAGGGACACGTTGGTGTCTAAGTTTGAACGCGGGCATAGATAGACAGACTTCGTTTCGTGCTGGAGGCCAGCAGTCTGCGTGATAGAACGCCTAACGGCGATACAGAACGTAAAACTCAAAGCATAGATAGATCCTCTGAAATTATTTCGACTTTCATCAACATGCCGTGCAACACCAGCTGAAGCATTAGCGCGGAGTTAACCCGAGGAGCCGAGTACTTTCTTCAGATGCCTGGGCTTACTAACACTGCAGGAATTGATCACATCTATTAGAGTACCACTGGTATCACAAGTAATGGCCATAAAATAATCCAGTGCTGAACGGGAATTCAAAGGCGAGTGAACTGATTTGTCTCCTGAAGTCATAATCTACCTTTGCCAAATTCAAATCACCGCTCTTTTCGAATATGATGATGATGATCAGGGAGTACTATATTTCAATTTGTATGTACCATTTCCAGTATTGAGCCCTCAATCAAGCCCATCGTTTAATCGTCCATTGACGTTTCAGATTTGCTTCGTTTATTCATCAGCCTATAAGCTTACAACTGCGGGGGCTTGCCCCTCACAGTTAGCCTAGGATTCGCAAATCCCTTTCGAATGTTTACAGCTATCATCCTATCGCGTCTTATTTAAATTCTCAGATGACTTCGTATTAACATCTTAATAAGTTGCGTAAACATATTTGATTTACAGAGCATTCCAATTTCAAACATGGCAAATCCACTTCCAAGTTTTCAAAGGTCGTAATTGACTTCACCAACTTAACGCAAGGCTTCATTAAATATTCACTCCAGGCAAAATTAGGGATTTCTATTGCGTGATTTTGTGGCGGGTAAGGTAATAGATTGCTACTAATGGTCTGGTCCACAGGGAAGTGTGACAGATAGACCTGCTGCCCCGATTTTCGTGAACTGGATGACCAAAGAGCCCAGCTATTGACTGACTATATTGCATCTACCTTATCTGATCTAAAAAATGAGTGACCCGGACGTGATTTGAACACGCAACCTTCTGATCTGGAGTCAGACGCGCTACCGTTGCGCCACCAGGTCCTCGGTACCGCAGTGGTAATAAGTTGCCTTCATCCTATTTGGCATTGCAGAACAAACAATGGCCACCCCGTTGTGCAATAGTGAGCCACAAATCTATACAAGCTTCGTATTTTTTGTTCGTTTTTTTTAATTACAATTATGGAAATATTGGGCCTGGTTAAAAGAAGTGCGAATATAACTCAACAACGTAGGTACAATACTAGATGGCATTCGTAAAATATGTATGATAAGAAATATACACCAACGAAAGGACCCTGATGCTGGCATCCGACTGCTATATACAGCTGTACCATCGAAGTATGCATGTAAAATTGAAGAAAAACGAACTGCGTCGGCCGGGAATCGAACCCGGATCAACTGCTTGGAAGGCAGCTATGCTAACCATTATACCACCGACGCGTGGTGAAACGGCGTCAGTTTTCAATCTGTATGTATGGTGTTATTTAAAAAAATTGAACTATATATAGGAACCAATAATTCTGACGCAAATTGTCATGTAAGATGTTGCGTTCTTCAGTATTAGAGTGTTGCGAATAGTAGGTATATGATCTTGATCATTTGCGATTGGCCGTAACCTTCCAGTCGAACAAACAAACGCTGTTGATGATTTCATGGGTAAAAGATCACGAGTTAACCTCTAGACCAGATATGTTTAAATCGAACTTTTTTCCTGTTAAAGCAACCCCACTTCATAGCTGATTAGCTCGTAAGTTTTATGCTTTTTAATAACTTCACTTTATATATACTAACTTTAATCTTTCTACTGATTTAGCTACACTACAAATTTGATCAATTATCAAAGTTTCAATTAGTCTTCAATCGTAAATAGAATAATCCGGAAAGTTTAAAGCATACGAATATAGGAACAAAAATAGAAATATAAAACAGCTGATTTTATTTCCTTTTATGTTTCCGTGAAGATGTACAGTGTAGGTGGGCCTATTGCCGCT